AATCTGATTCAATTACATTCAGTTTAGTTATTTTGTTCCAGTTCAGAATATGTCATCTAAAGACACAGACAATTCAACCAGATCATAGTCAGATTGGTTCAAAGTTTTCTATCTCAGGAAAATCAGCTGATTGCATCGACTCATTGCAAATCAATCCCTAACACCAATCAAGCATGCAGTGTCAGTGGAGAGGAAAACTCACTTTTAACAGGAAGAAACCTCCAACACAACCAGGCTCAGCGTGAGCGGCCATCTGCCAAGGTCAGAATGATCAGTTTGGTTTAACAAAAACAAAAAAAATGGTAGATTTGTGCCATTTGTGGTTTAGAGTAAGCAGATTTCTTAAAGGTATAGAGGATGATCTTTTATTTCTGGGTGGATCATCTCAATAAGTGGTCCTCCAAATTGCCAGTCATTCTGGCAATATGTTTATGTAAGGCCATCCTATGTGCTTGTTCCCTCAGCTAGCTTTTTCTGTGCATGGGCACTTTCAGGCGTATATCTGGTGAGCTACAGTTTCAGCCAGTCATTGAGGCTTACCTTTCTCACCACGGTTCTTTGAAACTGGCCTACGGTCGTAGGAGAAAAAGTGTCTAAGAAGTGTATGAGAAGAAAAAAAAGGCCTCAGAAGAGGCAGATATATCCAGGAAATCTTTGCACGGAGAGCTCTCCTTGCAAAGCGTTATGGGATTTGCTGTCACAGCGGCCCGCTGTTGCCATAGGCTGTCGCTACCCGACAGCGGTGACTGACAAAGATGGCGCAAGCACCGCACAGTGGAGGAGGATTTACGTGACCAATGGGTAGCAAAAAGCAATGATCATCTGTCCCAACAGTAAGTTAACTGAATTTGCTATAAATTTCACTATATAGTTCCTGCTCTACACAATGATTGAGGGATTTAGGGGTTAGGGCGGACATTCAGACACAGTAAGCTTGTATGAGCTATGAGAACAGCAACTTTTAAACAGCACGAGGACAAATTGGCTCGTGCACGCTCTCGTATAATGGGCGTTCCCTCTCGGGAGCAAGTTCAGGGTTGTACATGTGCATTTTGTTTTTTAAAGTGGAGAGGGCGGGTCTTTAAAAAAAATCGCCAACATTTTTCACAATACCTAAAATTATTTTGCTTCCTAGGGTGATTAAACATGGTAAGAACTTTTTTTATGTTGTGTAGAACAAAGTTGATCGCCAGATTTAACTAAAGTTAATCTGATATCCAATCCTACCTGATCAAAAGATAAACTACTAAAATCCCTTTTAAAAAAGAGATGAAACATAAAATAAAGATTGCTAATAAATCCTTTTAAGCTTTGTGCCTTGCTGTGTAAATCCTAAGAAACAGGTTAAGCATGTGCTATACAGCTAGTAATTCCTTAAACAAAGGGTTTAAAGCTGTGTGGGCCGCTTCTACACATAAAAATAAGCCTGTGCAATACATATATATTGACATATACTTATATAGTTTAACATGCACTGGCTTGATTGTGTTAATTTGAAAACTTTTTTCAGAAGTTGTGTCTTGTGTCAAAACTAAACACAGCTAAGGCTGCACATGTCATGAACTTGGCAGACATATAGAGAAAAACAAGATTATAGTTTTTTGACCTCATCCTCTTCACTCCAAAATAAGTTTTACCATTTTAAAAGTCTTAACTTTGCTCCTTGTGATGAGAAGATAAAGATATTCATTGATTTAAATCAAACTCCAACTGAATTATTCAGATTACAGATGATTCCATGTCAACTTTCTTTGTCAAACCAATGTAATCACAACTAGATGCTGACCAGCTTGATCAGTACAGGTGGAACATCAATGGACCCTGTACTGAAACTTTAGTTTTCAGAACCTGACATAAGAAAAGAGATTGCTGAAAAGATCAGAGACCTTCAGACCACGAAGCAGTGGCAAACACCCTTCATGCCGTCTAAGACCAACAAAAATAAATTTCGTTAAGAACAGCTCTCTAGACAATTTCATTTTTTTTTTTTTTTTGCAGCCTTGAAAACAGTAAAAAAAAAAAAAAAAAAAAAAAAAAAAAAAAAAAAAAA